CGAACCCAATAATTTCCCCTCACCTGCCTCTCACCACAACAGTAACTCCTCTATTCGCCTGCTTGCCTATAGCCCAAACTCGCAATCTCAACTTATCCCGCTCAAGTCCTGCTTCCAATATTGAATGTAACAGAGCGATATTAAAATATGTGTATACTAATATCTATACTTAAAAAAAGGGTATTTCCAAAAATATATAGATAATAAACAAGTATGTGAAGAAAAAACTGCACCGTCCATCTTAAATCCGGTTGGGATTATTTCAAATCTAATTTTAGATCCTGTCGATTTTCTAAAAAATTAAAAAGGATTGTTGTTTAAAAATTGGAGAGCGATGATTAATCAATTAATGAAAAAAAAAGATGGTTAATAAATTAAATTATAATTAAACATTAATTAATTGGTTTATTTAATTAAGTGATTAATTGGAATTTCAAGTATAAATTAAAAATTAATTAATTGATTAGTTAATTCTGAAATCAAATCAATTAATTTAAAACTATAATAAAAATTAAATTTCTTTTAATTAACTAAACAACTAAACAATTAATTCAAAATAAATATGAAATCTCATTTAATAATTAATTTATCCATTTTAAAATAAAATTAAAGCATAAATAATTGAGCAATTAATTAATCATCAATTAACAATTCAATTAATTAAAATTTTACTGGATTAATTAATTAAATTGTATTGGAGCACAAAAAAAAAAAAAAAAAAAGTGGGGAGAGCCACTATGGTGAAACTATACATTTTAATTGAAAAGAGCGATAAAAAGAATAATGTTTGTATTAAATAAACTTAAGTAACTCACACCAACTATGCTCAAACTTCTATAACTAAAATACCAACCAAACTAACAGGCCACTTCTAAATACAAAAGCGGTAAGACTTTACTCACACAAAACCTCAGGCCACTTCTAAATGGAAATGAAGTATGACCCACTTTTTAAATAAACTCCGGGCAACCTCCAATGGAAGTCGTAAGCCCCGAACCAATTCAAATGATTGAGCAACTTCTAAACGAAACCATAATCCTCATCCTAAAATAAACTAACATGCAACTTCTAATAGAAGCCTGAAGCCTTGAACTAATTTAAAATAACTGGGCAACTTCTAAACGAAGTCATAAGCCCTAAACTAAATTAATTAACTAGGTATTCTAACATATGTAAATCCCAAACCACAATAAATTTGCAACATATATCTAATCACTTCAGAATACTTAAGATTCCTAAGAGGAGGCAACCTATGATTGCTAATCAGATTTCTTGGACACTATAATCACTGATTGCTAGTGTTGATAGACTAAAAACTATAGCAATCCTGGGACGACATAACCATGAGATCTTGATCGGGTTTATCTCCATCCACAAAAAAAATGAGACTAAAATGCTTAAAACCATTCATCCTTATTTGAGAGTTCTCTCTTACACATTAAAAGGGGTAATTAACTATGAAAGCGTGCACTCATAGGAAGTAAGAACCCTGATCTAATTAAACCATGATCCAATCCATAGAGGAATTTTTATTAAGTACAATCTGCCTAAAGGAGAATGGAATTATAAATTTGCAAAGTAAAATTCATGCCAAAACATCATTTTTCTTGAGCAAACAAACTACTCTCAACAATTATTTAAAACTTGAATTAGTTGTTGAGATAATTCCTCTAGATGCAATTAGCTCATGAAGGTGGGTTGAGAGTTATCTTCTATGCTCAGATTTATCTTAATCAATTCATAAATAACATGTGGGACACCATCACCTAATTTTGGGGGTTTATTAATGACCTTGAGAGTAGTGTAATCAAAATCATCAATGACTTTTAAAGTGCTCCTTAAAAGATAGAAGGGTAAATCATCTTGCAATCACCAAGCAATCTCTGATTTTTTTGTATTATCTTTTAGGCTTCTTAAAGAAGCCTAATTCTTGCTTTTATGAAGGGTTCTAATACAACGAAGAATCTTGTAGATCTTAGCATGGTTTTTAAACCATCTTAAATGAAATATTTTTTAAGTATTTGGCAATCAAAAGAGGGAAGAAGAAAACATCAAAAATATCTTCTATTTCATCACTAAAGTCATATCATTAGTAAGTTGCGCAAGAACATTATAAATAAAATGGCATTTTCTTGATAATATCTCCTAAGAGGAATGTAAATGGCCTTTAAAGTAGATATAAATGATGTACTGCTAATTGTAATTTCAAATACTAGGGTATGGGATTCATATTCAAAATATCATCTAATAGGTCAAGTGTGTCAAAGGTTCTTGAAAAACTAGTTGAGCATCAAAATTATGAAGCACCTTATCATATGAATATCCTCCTAAATGCATGCTCCAAAGTTAGGAAACCTTTTAAGAGAGTTCATCCTCATTATCAACTTCACGAGTCTTCTCATCACCATAACTTTGTTGTAAAACAATCTTGCTAGAATGGAGCATAGAAAAATTGTTCTTATTTACATTTGGTCTTGAGGATGTGGTATCTCAACCTATTCTCGTACTACTATCTTGCCTCTTTTTTAGAAGAGAATATGAGTGAAGGTGGATGAGTTTATTTATAGTCAAGGTTTAGAGAGAGTGGATGAGTGAATTTGCTTCTTCTTAGGCATACAATACTTAGCATCACTGTTTATGCATATTTCATAAATTAAGAATGATGAAGATCAGCTAACATGAAAAAACTCTTCACCTCCATGAGTGTATATCATACACTAATATAAAATGGAATATGCCATCTTATACTTATGTAGTCAGAAAAGTCCAAGTAAAATGTGTAAGTACAAGTAAGCATCAATAATATGAAATTTAGCTTTTAACTTATACTTGCCAAACTATTGTGGTAATGTAATAGAACCAAGAGTCTTTTTGCCATTTTTATTATATTCATGTAATATCAACTTATTCGAACATAACTTCATATGTTCAAAGATAAAAGTTCAAGAGTAAAACTATTACCACATTAATTGAAGGTCCACATTCTACCAAGATATAACTCAATGTATAACTCTATATGAAGGAATTAATAAACAAGATTCAATTATAATTTACCATTTTTAGGAACAAATCCTCATAAGTCAAAATCAGTTAGAGAAGGTCCTTCATGGGATGACCCCCCTTCAACTTTTCTTAAGCAAAATAAATGTAATAGCTCAAACTTAACTATCAAGATAGTGTCTTCTTTAGCTTATAAACTAACAGTTTTTTGCCAGTTTGTATACTTCCTAGGAGATCACCCATCTCAAAATAGCTCCCGCACAAGCACGTTTAGCTTTAAAAATTTTTATTGAAATTTCAATAATTACACTAAAAGACGTCTCAATATTTAAGAGTTTAACTTCTTTCTACTTAAGAGTTTTACAATCTCCCACACTTTTTAGAAACTAATATACTTGTCAATATCCTTATCCCAGAATTATTGTAAAAGTAGCCCATACATGTTCAAGTAGTGTCTCCCACCATGTAACTCTTTGTCTCATATAATGTTCAAGAGATGGCTCCCATGACATAGCACTTTATCATGTGTGATACTTAATTCACATCTTTTGGCTAATGCATTGCTCTCTAATACCACTATGTAAAAGTCAAAACTCTTAACTATCAAAATATTATCTACTTTAGACTATGTGGTTCACCATTTTATCCAATTGGTAAACTTCACAAAAGATCATTCATCCTAAAATTACTCCAACATGAATACACTTGACTTAAAATTTTTTTTACTGAAATTTCAATCATCATACTTAAAAGCATATTGATGTTTAAGAATTTATCACCTTTCTACTTGCGAAATTTTATAATAAGTTTGAAAAACCTTGGCTAAAAAAACACTTCAACAAGAGTTTCATGAGGCTCTAGAGGGAGATTTTTAAAATAAAAGGCACATTAAAGTCTGTCCTAACATATAAGGTAGTTTTTCTCTTGACTAGCCTAAATAAGAAACTCACCAAGATCGTAAGTGATAATATTTTTGCCCTTCTCCCTGATTGTAGGATTAGGAGGTCTAGGTTGAAAGTATTTTTCACTTCTTAATTAAGCTTGTTGAATCTACTCTGATTAACTATCATTTTTTATTTTATATGATAATCTTGAATATTAGAATCAGATACATCAATTTTTGTGCTTCTTTTGAACTAGAAGTAATATTTTCATAAACATTTGATTTTAGAGGCAACTTATCATCAAAGGGGTTGCAAGTTGGGGAATGAGAAAAGAGTAAACACCACAATGATGAAACAAGCAAGAACATAAAATCAACATAAAATAAAGAACACCAAGATTTAACGTGTAAAATTTAAAATAGAGAAAAAATCACAAAGCCACAACACACCAAAAAATTTACAATAAAAATTGGGAGAAACAAGTACAGATCTCACTTCTCTCTCACTCACTCATTGATTCTCTTCTCACATGCACCCGAACCCAAACAAGGGGTAAACCCCCGCACCTCCCAACGAAAACGACAAACATTGAGGCTCGAAACAACAAAACAACCAGATTGATGAACACAATCAGATTCCACACATAACATAGCAGAAGTTAGGATGATGAGCACCATCTGTAAGAGTCAAGCTATATTCTTCTTTTTTTTCCATCCTTATCAATATTGGAAGTAGATATCACATGAATAGAAGCAAAGGAAAGTGCTCAAACAGAGCTTGATCCATTTCACCAACATCAAAATGTCGCATACTTTTGACCAACATTTGCAAACCAAAAAGGTGAAGTAGGAACATAGTATAAAACTCTGTATGAATAATAAACTGAACATCTAGTTTCACACTAAACACAACTGAGGTATGTCAACTTGATTATATGTGTAAAAGACCATTTGTTGTAGCTGCTAAAAAACCTAAATGTATTGTACAATAGTTAAAAAGATTTGGTACAGGTAACACTCCCATTGGAACATTTGGTGTGTAAACTAGAAATCTGACAATATCACATGTTGCAGACCTAAAATTGGCTCCAAAAACTCAAAAAAAAAGAAGGAATAGTGAGAAAAAGAGGCAAGCAAATTTAAGAATTAACAAGAGCATCACTTCCCTGATCAAACTAATGTTGCTGTATACATCTGTTAAACAAAGACGACCATATGTGTTTAAATACAGTGGAATGGAAAACCCTTATCCTGCTGGCAAAACCATTGAAGTGACAAATCACAGAATTATTGTTTTAGAAAGGCAGTTCTGGGGAACAAAAACAACCCACCCCACCAGCCAATAAAATAGGGGAAAAAAATTTTTTTTTTTGGCTCTCCCAAGGCTTTTGAAACCTCAGCTGTAGCGGGCTCGAAAAAGCTCTGAACCTGGACAAGCTAATCTTAGTGCAGCTCTTGTTCCTTCAATGATCTATCTATACATGTCGCTGGCTCCCGTGGACTGCGCAAATACCCCAGTAAAAGGTAAAATGACCCGGAAGCAAAATCTCACTATAGCCTAGTTGTAGATCTTCACAGGCTTCTCAGATGTGTGATGACGGTTCTGCAGAGAAACACAGTTGATGTCACATAAACGCAAATGCAGGGCAACTGTTCTATCGAAGAAATAGATAAACCATGAATAAGAAGCAGCTTTTCTTATATAGAACAAGGAAACACAATACTTACCTCAGTTCCTTCACAAAATTATTGTTATAGAAAATCAAAATTAAGATTGAAAGTGGACTAAAGCATTCGATGAACAACTTCAGCTTGACTTGATTAATACTCGTTCAAGTTCAAGTTAGTAATTAAATAAATTTGAACTCTTTTTAAAAACTCAAAAGCAAAATGAATCAAATATAAACCCAATCAATTATTAATGTTCATAAACAAACTTGTTTGTCATTCAACAACACATCTTAGCCCACGAGGTCAAGAGGCCTAAAGGAGGTTGGTACCAGTAAGAACTTTGAATCCTACAACCAAGTTGGTGCGAGCTTATTTCCCATGAAATGATTCTTAGCCAGGTGAACATTTATGTTTTTTTATTTTTTTTTTCAACTTTTTAGTTTTTACAAATTAATTAATAATATTATTAGTGAATATGCATATTAATTTGATACAATCACTTCTTACTAATCTATTTAAATGAACAAGTTTGTTAGTATTTCTTTATGTTGTATGATTATAAGAAAGTTAATTAGCGATTTATTTATTATCTAATTTAATTTATATCAAACAGTTAGATACTAAATCCAAATTTCTTAATTGCCTTTTTATTTAGACTTATACAATTATATGATAAACCAAATACAAGTTCATTTTTTTAGCTTACTTATTTGCTCGTTAAAGTACTTGTATAACTAATTTATACCAAGTCGACTACAAGCTCTATCATTTAAAAAAAAAAAAAATCTAAACAAGCCAAACACAACCATACATTTGAAAGCTTGTCCTGAACTCGAGACTTGCATAACCAAGCTAAGTTCAATCCATGATGTGCGTAACTCAATTCGACTTAATTCCATCTCTACTGAAAAAGGGATTTAACTCGGGAAAGTTTCCCAAACATGAAAGCTAAAGAAACGGACCGTTACCTGATTTGCTTGATAAGCCCTTTTTGGAGAAGTGTCTGAATGTTCCAATCCAAGATACTGTTCCCAAGCTCCGTAAACATCTCTTCTCTAAATAAAAAATGCCAAGAAAGCTAAAGAGTTATTAAAAAAAAAAAAACTGCAAACACAAAAGAAAATAAAAGGTCTACAAGAAGAATGTGGACCTGAAAACGAGTCGAGACTATGTCAGAATCTTGAAGATACTCAGGCCGGCCAAGTGACATAAACGCAAATTTCCACTGATGAAAAAATGATGGTTAGTTTAAGTACACAAAACAGCACCTATATAACATGTAAGAGTAAAACAAAACATTACAAGAACAAGTAATAAAATGGTTTACGATTTCCATTCAGGAAAGCCTTTATTGCAGTACAAGGTGAAAGAGAATAGAAAAGCTTTTGTTCTTGGTGTTTTTAGCCTCAATGCAAGCAGTGAAATCTCAACAATATGATTAAATGTGTGGTATGCAGGCAACAAGAAAAAGGAAAAGGGAAAAAGAGTGTTAGTCGAGGAAGAAGAGCACAGGATAAAAATGATTGGATTCAAGGTCCGTCGAGGAGAGTTAGGAAGCTGAAGAAAGCGGGAGATAAAAAGGCGGAGAAGAGACTGCCAAAAAAAAGAGAAATTTTCAAATCGGTTTCAAAATACAAGTGTATCTTCCCTATCCACGTATGTCTTGGTTATGTTAAAGTATTACACCTTCATGGTGCCTATGAAAACATTCTGAGAGAATGCAAAATTACAAATGATCGGAATTGACTACTTTGTGACTTAAAAGCATTCATTGAAGTGGTTCACCTTTGAAAACTCGTCATCAGGAACTTGTAGTTTTCTTTGAATGCGTGCCTTTACTTCAGCCAGAGTTTCGTCATCATGAATGACCAAGAAGAAAGGTTCACCAAAATTCTGGACTTGCTGTTACAAGAGAATAGCCTTGAACGCTGGTTTCTAATATGAACCAAAAAAAGGAAACTGGCCCCAAATAGTTTGATAAAGCAAATAATGATAATTAGTAAAATATGATTCAACTTAATAAGAACTAACAAATCAAAAAACAGGAAACCAAGCTCCTAGCAGTCTGGTTGTCAAGAAATTGCTTACCAAAATAGAATTTAAGTTATGTAAGTACCAACAATGGGACAAAAAGAAAACCGAGCCTCTGGAAGCTTAGTTGTCAACAGGGGCAGAGCCAGGATTTTTTCATGTGGGGGCACAATTTATTGAAATCCAAATTATTGAAATAATGACACTGTGATATACTGACAATATAATTTTCAAACATTAACAAAAAGTAGAAATTGTTTAATATAAAACAAATAGTGTAAAAATTATATTAACAAGCTATTTTTAACAAAATGAAAATTTTAAAACTAAAAATTGCTCACATTTTCTAAGAACTGTTAGAATCTATTCACATAATCTTTATAATAATTTGTTACTTAAATTTATAAATAATGAAAGAAAAAAATTAACTAATAAACAATACAATACTATTTTGCACTTAGCAGTCTAACTCGTCTCAGGCTCTCGACCCCTCGACCACCTCCCACATTTTTTATTATCAAATCTGACTTTCGAGCCTGAGCTAGGGACGTGGGACCATGCATAAATGATGGTGAGGGGGGATGCCTGAATGAAGCGTACAGGCGATGCAGCGCATCATGCGGGAGATGAGCCGCGCGTGCGCGCGAGAGAGAGAGAGAGAGAGAGAGAGAGATGAATGAAGCACCGAGTGCAGGATTCTCCACGCGCCGCGTTCGTGAAATAATGAAGACAGAGCATTGAGCACAGATTTGAGGAGAACTAAATGAAGCACGATAAAAAAAAAAATAGACGAGGCACCGATTTACCATAACTAGAATTAGTTAAGCATTAATTAAGCGGTCAGTGGGGTCCATGCCCTAGGTCCCCCAGCCTAAATCCGCCCCTAATTTGTCAAGAACTTGCTTGCCAAACATATCTAGAGTCAAAAACCATGTTCCATCATGATGGAAATAACCATACTTTCCATTTTCAAAAGAAATGAGCATCTCCACACGTCCGCGTGCGTGAAACAATGAAAGACGAAGTGCTGAGCGCAGATTTGAGTAGAACTGAATGAAGCATGGTAAAACAAAATAGACGAGGTGCCAATATACCATAACTAGAATTAATTAAATATTAATTAAGAGGTCAGTGGGGGCCCATGCCCCCAGCCTAAATCCACCCCTAATTGTCAAGAACTTGCTTACCAAACATTTCTCGGGCCGAAAACCATGTTCCATCATGATGGAAATAACCTTACTTTCCATTTTCAAAAGAAATGGGCATGAGAACAAATTCTGTTTGACCAAAAAGAGAGTATAGGCAAGAAATAGTAAATATTTTGCCAAGCATGACGCGAATGTTGGTGCACGCATATGTTACTACTCACACCCTCAACTTGGGTATACAGGTCGACAGACATTTCACTACCTGACATTAGGACAGTAAGAACAAAAGGTAATAAAAAAATGAGGTCCATCGCTTATGTTGCACCGATACACCTATTTATGAAGGCGTGTTGTATCCGATACACCGATACACGAATAAGCCTCTGATACTCCACTGATACGTGTCGGATACATCAAAGCCGTATCCAATTAAAATACTATTTAATTTCAAAAGGACACGCGTATCCGATACGCGTGTCCGTTAAAAAACAAAAAGAAATCTGAAACCAAAAAAGATGTGTCGTATTTACTTGCGCGGTTGCGAGCAAGATTCTCTCATTTCCGAGATGGATTTGAGTCTCTTGATGATATGAAAATATTAAAAATTATTAATCTTTCACTTTATGAGCCTGAATTAGAAGCTATGATATTTATTGAACATGATATGGAAGTTCAAAGACAAACCAATGAAGAAGATAATTATATCATTCATTCTATTGAATAGTTGAAATTTCATGTGCTAGATAATTTATGTTTATGCTTTTGTTGTTGTACTATACATTTAATGCTTACTTATATTTTGATATTATAAGCTACAATGCTACAAATGATGTTGTTGTCATTTTTTTTTTTTGTAATTTCAAATATTATGTTTTGATTGCTTTCTTAATTTTTATGTATGATTATAAATTATAATGTCGTGTTCGTGCTGTACCCGTATCATGTATTTTTAAGAATTGACATGTCCCGTATCCGTATCGTGTCGTATCCGTGCCGCCGTATCCGTATCGGTGCAACATAGATACACACACACACAACAAGGAGTTACAGTTGGTGTATAGAATTTCATTTTTCTTGTTTTTTTCACAAAAAAAATATACAACATAAAATAAAATGTAAAAGAAAGGCAAATGGACATTACGAACTTCTATCGTATTTTTCATTAAATAGAAAGTTGAAATGTGTACCATACATTAAACACATTCCTTATTGTTATTTACCGTTGAATTTTGATTTGGATCTTTCATAAAGTGGTAGACATGAATCAAACGATCATGTGGACTACAATTTTTCTCCTCCTCCGGTATCTACACAGAAAATAATATATCTTGTTAAATGGCCATGTTAATGTAGAATATAAATATATTCATATCAATTGCATGTATGATAATAAATGAATACAAAATGAAGATACCAGGAAGGCTGGCAATGATGCTTACAGTTACAAATAGTGCAGGTTACCAAAAAACTAGGAGAAAGCAGACTCTAAAAACTAAAATATATTAACCTCTTCTGCACGCAGAGTCCAGTACTGATCGTTAATATTTTCTATCTTTTCACTTAGTGGAAATATCTGCAGTAAAAGAAACGTTCAAGAAAAAGGGTTAATGGTTTTATACAAACACAAGGTCTAGTTAAGTTATAGACAACCCGAACATTGCTCAAACTACAAATTAATAATGAATAGCATTATTCATATACATCCAACTTAAATAATATATCATAAATTAGTAGTGTTAATAAAATAAGTTTGACATGATCACAGTAATTCATTGATGGGAAATTTGTTGTGTTATACCATACAATACATATGATCAATAAAACATAAAATTGTGATTTATTTTCTTAGGTCCATAGTGGAATAATATGTCTTTCATAATAATATATTATTTTCTAAGTCATACTCAATCGCAAAATATTTCAAACAATTGATGATGCCAAAATCTCCAACACATATTCAAGCCAAAAATGAACATCAGGATACCATAAATTCATGAAAAATAAATTAGGATCTCATGGATTCATGCCATAGAAGGTAAATAGGATTCTATGGATTCATGCCAGAAAAAGGAAATTTATAACCTATTTACGTATATGTATTTTACGGTTTTATGAATTTCCTTATTTCATTCTCATACCAGTTTATGTGTTTCTTGTATCAAATTCTTTGTAAAATAAGTAAAATTAATTTCTTGACCTGATGTTATTCAGCAAAAAACTCTCAAACTCCATCAAATCATAATTTCTTTTCAACAATAGGTGCAATACCATGTTCTGTTTAAGAGCAGCATGTTAGAATGGTCTAGGAGGGACTGGTACAACCAGTCTAGAAGGAAGCGGCGTATGTCTACGCCGGATGGAAACCTGGTCCGCCCAGCAACCTCCTGCTCCCCTTTGGGATGGGGCCCATTGCTTGATGAAAGAGGAGGGGCGGTTTAGGAGGGATATTCAATTAGAGGTCTAGTTTGAGTATTTTTCTAGTTATTGTAAGCTTTAAGTAATTTTGTAAAACCAAGGATTAGGTTATGTTTTTGCTGAATTCAGTTTTCCTAAGGATTAGGTTATTGTACGCATATGTTACTACTCACAAACCAATGAAGATTTCAGATTTCGTAAATCAATTTTCATACGACCATGAGAAGATGGATGGAAAGTTTGCAATTGTGGAAGAAATATTGAGGAAGCTGCTCGAGGCTCAACCCAAAACAGCTTCGTAGGAGGCAAGGGGAGCCACCGACGACTAAGGAACTAGGGGAAACCCTGATCCGATAATAAGAGAAGAAAATCAAGAGGTGGAGATTTTGAAGGAAGTAAACGGAATACCTCCAATGGAGCCTATTCCTATGGAGGAGATGGGTAGTAGGTATGAGAGGAAAGGTGTTGATTTTGCAAGGAGAGGGGTTGCTTATGAGTCAAGGGGTGCTGATTTTGAAAGGCAATGGAGGAAGTTTGAAGAAGGGTTTGGGTATGAACGTAGGAGGGAGGATCGAGACATTTTCGTGTGGGGGCATCCTTGGGAAATGGAAAATAATGGAGAATGCAGAGGGAGCAGAGGAGATCCGTGGGTGAGGAAGCTGAAGATGCCTATTTTTGAGGAAGAGGACACACATTGGTGGATCTAAAAGGTGGAGAGGTATTTCATCGTGAATGGATTGATGGAGGAGAGACTGATGGCAACTGGCATGTATTTGGATGGGAAGGCACTAGCGTAGTACAACTGGAGAGACATGAGAAGACCAATACGGAGTTGGAGGAAGTTCAAGGACTACTTATTGGAATGTTTCCAAACCAGTAGAGGAGGGGACTTGTATGAGCAATTCTTTACTCTGACACAGGAAGGCTTAGTGGTAGAGTACTGTAGGAAGTTTGAGTATCAGGATACCACATATTTATGAAAAACAAATTAGGATCTCATGGATTCATGTCATAGAAGGTAATTAGGATTCCACGGATTCATACAAAAAAAAAATTATAACCTATTTATGTATATGTATTTTACGTTTGTATGAATTTCTTTATTTCATTCCCAAACCAGTTTAGGTATTTCTTGTATCAAATTCTTTGTAAATAAGTAAAATTAATTTCTTGACCTAATGTTATTCAGCAAAAAACTCTCAATACCAAGTTCTGTTTAAGAGCAGCATGTTAGAATGGTCTAGGCGGGACAGGTCCAATCAATCCAGAAGGGAGCTGCCTATGTCTATGCCAGGTGGAAACCTGGTCCACCCAACAACCTCCCATTTCCCTTTGGGATGGGGCCCGTTGCTTGATGAAGAGAGGAGGGAGCGGTTTAGGAGGGAAATTCAATTAGAAGTCAATCTTGGGTATTTAGCTAGTTATTGCATACTTTAAGTAATTTTGTAAAACCAAGGATTAGGTTATGTTTTTGCTGAATTCAATTTTCCTAAGGATAGAGAGGGATTCTAGTGAGCGGCTAGGGTTTGCGAGAGCCGGATCTTCCTCTCCAATTGAATATCCATTGTATCTTGTTTGTTTTCTTCTTTCTATCATCAACTAAAGAGTTTCTCTTGTGTTATTCCACATAGATCTTTCTCGTTTACTATTTTGAGCTTTTTGCTTAAATACAATTTCAGCCAGCATTTTCTTCTTTTTTTCAAAACGTTTCCTATCACATCACTCCAGAAAACATCTGAGCTACTAAACTAAATACACAAGCATACAAACTAAGAATAACAAGGCAAACTTTACATGTAAGAAAAAATGATATTACCTTGTATATCTTGTGATAAAATACCTCCAATAACCGGAGCTCAGCATTTGCGTTGGACAATTCAACCTAACCATGATTGAGAAAGGAAAAATAAAATAAAAGGGAACACAATTGTAAGCGTGAATAGAGTTGGCCAAAGAATTTTACAAAATAGTACAGCAAACAAGAAAAAATTTCCCAATTCCCTTTTTCACGTCATATATCAAAAAATCTAATATAATAGGTTCATATTCCACTTAAAAAATATAAATCTTTTTTTCTTTTTTTTTTACAGAAAGATGGAAATTCACCTTTGTTTTGAGATCATTGATGACATCACCTACGATGCTATTTTTGGGCAGCCTAATGGTATGAATTATAATCTGAAAAAAAAAATAATTAACATAAACCTATCAACAAGGCGAAGTAAAGTTCCAACAACGCACTTCATCTTTAGTGGCATGATGGAATGCAACTTTGAGAGTTTTCAGCCCTTGTAACTCAGGCAGAGAGATGTCCAAAACTTCATAATAGAGAATATCAGAAATCTACAAGGAAAAATAATACAATCCATCAAACCTTACCAAAATTTAAAAATATATTACCCACATAGAAAATATGCACAACCTGATTGTAATGGACCAACATGTCCGATAGATGCTCCACGCCACGATATTTGATGGGTTGGGGTTTTGGTTGTTGAGAATAGCAGTTATGGGACGTAAGTCTAATTTTGGAAGGATCGTGCAAATCAAGATGATGAGCTACCCTTTCAACCACATCATCGTAGGAATGAAGCTTTGAACTGTAAACAGAAAACCAGAAAGCAAAGAAATGAATTCAAAGACAGAAAATAAGTTGATAACAATTGACAAAGTTTTCTAATTTAGTAAATGATCAAAATGGTCCCTATATTTTTTAAGTGTGCGTATTTTAGTCCCAAACTTTTTCAGGAATTCAATTTAATCTCAAAACTCACTAAATCTGAACCAATTTAGTCATTTTTTAGGACAATAACTGGTGTAGGTTATCTTTTCATAAGACATTTTGATTTTTTTAGGGTCAATCTCATTAGTTTGAGCTAATATTAAATAGGAAAATAAAATCTAAAAAGATAAAAATGCCCTCATGAAAAGCTTTCCTACACTAGTTTCCATTAAAAACCAAATTGATTTGGGATTTGTCAGTTGAGGGACTAAATTGAACGCATTAAAAGTCAAAGACAAAATAAGCACGCCTAAAAAATCTAAGAACCATTTTAAGTCAATAATTTATATTTAAATGCTTACAGTTCTAAGAAAAAATCGTCCTCCTTTGGCTTCTCCAGGGACCGGAAGTGAACAACCTAAAACATCAATTAAAGAAAGCGACAATATGATCCTCTGAGATGAACAAGAAAAACATATTCATGATGTAAAGGACAATGTAGTTGACGATTTGTTTCTAATGATCAACAAATATGTTATGAAATTAAAAACTGAACGGGGTCCATTTAAGTAACATGAGAAAAACAGTGATGAATCAAGATTAAATGTTCCTGTGAAAATAGATAGCACATTAAATGACAGAAGCCAAAAAGGCAATAGGTGGAAACCTCAATCTTGACCTACTAAGTTCTACTACCGATCATTTGTATGTACATACAAACAACATTAAGTAGCATTAGTCCCCACTTCCGATAATCAACATATTCTATAATGCATGCCTTTTTTTGGCAATTTCCACCTTGTAGCACTTCTTGATTTTACACCATGTGGCGGCCATGTTAGAATATAGTGAAGATGATAGTGGTTGAAACAGCTTAAGATGCACAGAACTAAGAGAAAATGGCCTACTAAATGAAGCTATAAAACTGAAGTTAGGAATGTTCATAATGGCTAAAACATCACTAACTTATTTGCATCAAGCAAAATCAAACAAAAAGAAGAAAATTATTAAAGTAAACACAGAGAATGCCCGAGCAAATGATTGCATAGGCACAAGAGAGCTATCCAAAGATTCAAGCTAAACCAACAAGGAAGTCATGATTAAAAAAAAAGTTCAATAAAGCAACTCTAAACTGCTCAGATAAGGCATTTAAGACTAGGTTATCTGTATAAGGCCACAATTATCATAATTAGGATGGAAACTCATTCTATCATGCACGAGACACGTTATTGCTCGCTTTCGAGATCAGACTTAATAACTTTATAAAATCATAAACAAGCATTCTTTAACTCGTATGTTATTAATATTATTATTATTTTAAATTAAACTCGTATGATTATGTCTGGTAGCTCTCTATATAAACATCATGTAAAGAAATATATCTTCCGCTATCTTTCAAACATTTTATGAAAAATTAGTACCGTATGTTTTGTATTCTGAGTTTACCAGGTCACCTCAATAACAAAATATATCAAACGATATCTTTGACATATTAGAGGACTGCACTTCAAGAAAAATATCCATGAAAAAAATTCGAAGAGTACCTCTATACAAACATTCAAACATAGCTAATTTATATAGCACGAACCAATCTCCAAAATTATTTACTTTCAATACAACTACCAAAGCTTTTTAACATACTAAAATGGTTTTAAAAACAAATTGTCAAGTATTACTGTAACTTTAAGGTCAACCGGTTTCCTTCCATTATTTTAACTACCAAATTCTCTCCTCATTGAGCGAACCACTGAGTTGCCCATGGATGCGCAGGTCCAGCCCAAGGACTAGCAAAGTAATCTTGCTATTATGCAGCATAAAAGTAATCTCAATGCTACCGGAAAAACCACTAGAGATAAGATGAATGTTAGTGTTCTCGGCCGAATAAAATCAAAGATGGTTGGGGCATTGGGGTTTGTCAGTAATGAACTATTGTAACTTTAGAAAGAAGGAACGATGAGGTATGTCAATAACATTAAATATTAGACATGATAATGAAAAGCTATTTTTGGGTGTTGCCTGCATCCCATTTTTTGTATTTTTAACCACAACTACAAGAATGAACCAAAAGCAGTGATTAGATTGCCTCAATTGTGACATGGAGGTTATGATTGAATAACTAAAATAATCTTTATGTAATGCATGTGTAAGGTTGCATGCATCAAACCTTCTAAAGACCCTCAAGAACTGCAACGGTGGGAGTTATATGCATTGGATATGTTCTTTCTCAAGCACACTTACCAGATCACGAAGGTTTGTTTTGCACCTTTTTTTCGGCAAAGAACACCAACTTGCAATTATTTTTTGTAATATATCAAATTACTTTAAATTTTGCATGGAGCCATATACCAACATAATCTAGATTCCTCAAGTTGCTATTTTTCTTTATATTTTAGCAGTTGTAGCGATCAAACATAACATAATGACAGGGTTTATTCTAAGTAATTAATAAACCAACTCATGGTCATAAATAGAATGAAAACTTCGCCCACATATTCCAATGTATAGTATAGAAGCTTGTCCCAACCTTATGTTTGGAATATTCTATATTTCTATCATCTTGATGTTGTAAATGATAATGATCATCAAAATTTATCCCAAGTCAATTCTACATTGTAAAGATTGACGCTGTACACAACGATCTCAGTGACAAATATTGAATTATAAGAACTTCATCATATGTCCCTTCATCTAGATTATTGGGATATTAAAACAAATGAGAGTTCCCTATGACAGCGAGTGGTGGCAGCAACGACTAGAGGCTGGTAGTGATGGTGATGGCCGGAGGGATGGGTGGTTGTGGCGGCCAACAGTGATGGTTGCAGCCAGCAAAAATGGGTGGTTGTGGCAGCCAACGGTAAAGGTTGCGGCCAGTAATGGCTGGCTATGGCAAACAACAGAGGTGGTTGCGTTTGGATGAGGTGGAGATGAATTTATAGTTTATTTGAAAATTGTTCAAATCGGACGAACTCCAAATGCAACAAATTTCCATTAGATGGTGCATTCCAATTACACTAAAATTTACACTACATATATTTAACTTCAAATCATACACCAATATTCTCAAAACCCTTGTATTTGAAATATTTTATACCATTTTTACTTCAAACCAAATAGCTCTTTAGTTACATTTATTTGCAGTAAACGATAGGCTTGATTAATGACAAAAATCAAAAGAATTGAAGTTTGATAACTATGGAGAATTTGTCAGTGTAGTTCATCCCATAGACTTAGTAAAACCTTTAATAACTAGGCATGTCATGTATCTATTGATAGACCCATCATGAAAAAATTTGATATTGTAAACCCATCAAAATGGATCATGTTTAATGCAAGGTGAAGGGGTAACCATATCCCATGCATCCATATCTAATTTCCACTGAAGATTTTATAGCCACTCCTTGTATATCCTTGGAATAGAAATTGATGACAAATGTTGGAAGTCTGAGGGAAAACATCAGTAGACATATGTACTTGTTTTTTTGGAAAGAGGTGTTGTTATTTATGGAGAACAACAACATCGTGTGTACACTTATCAAGGAAGAGAGAAAAAGTACATATGGTCATGGAGAAAGAGGAACGAAAAAGAGGATGGTGTAGAAGAAGGTGCAGAAAAGTAAAGAAATGACTCATGAAAGATAACATTTATTGAAGTATAAACATATTCAATAGTAGGGTCATAATAACAATAACAATCCTGAGAATGTGAGCATTTGAAAAAAGATATATTGAATGGTCCAATGAAAGAGGTAACTAATTTCAAAGGAATGCACATAGAAGATATAAACAAAACTTTTAAGTGTCCGAGATAGAGAATGTAGAAAGGGTCGACATTACAAAGAACAACAGATAGGATATCATTAATAAAGTAGCCTAAATCAAAACATGGTACCCCCAAATTTAATTAAAAAAAAAAATTATGGAACATAAAGTTTCGGGCTACATCAAGCAAATGAAGCAGCTTACATTCAAGAAATACATTAGAAGTCTGATGAATGATCTTATTATCAACACAAATAAGTGAAACGAACAACAACATCAAGCCTTCAGGTTTGATCCAATAACAACAACGTCGAGCTTCATATCTAAGCCAATTTTTATAACAAAGCTTATTATATTTTATCTTTTCTTGCAAAGTTTGATTGAACCACCAACTATTATTACTATTAGGAGAGTTTCTTTTTAATACTCCAAGCACATTCTTTGTAACATTTCTAATATCACTAGCTATTTTTTTTCGCATAACATTACTTCCTCAAGCATAGTCAACATCTTAAGATCTTGAATCTTACTCCAAAAATTTTTTTTAAGTTAATGTTCTTTAAATGCCCTAATTTATTCTTAGGATAATATTTTAGTTTATTTTTCATATTCTGCCCTTTCATTTTAATGTCCATATTTAATCAACAATGTTGGATACATAAAATTTTACTCGGAATAACTTTACAATCTTTGTAATCTAAACGATCTATTTTTCTTGTAAGAAATAATCAATTTGAGTTTTCTTATACCCATTCTTAAGTGATAAGATGCAATCTCTCTTTTTCTTAAATAAGCTATTAGTAATTACAAAATCATAAGCTAAAAAAAAAAAAAATTACAAAATCATAAGCTAGAGTAAAATCTAGTATGATTCTACTACCTTCATTAGTCACTCCAAATTCATAGCCACTATGAATGTTTTTTAAATCTTATACAATTCTACCAACATGTCCATTTAAATCTCTTATAATAAAAACTTTTTCTTCAAGAGGTATCCATTGTATCAATTCTTCCAAGTTATTTTAAAATTTTAATTTTGAACACATAAAAACCTACTTGAGGAGCATAAACACTTCTAATATTAATAATCATAAAATCAACAGAAATCTTTAAAACTATAATTAAATCTTCAATTCTATTAATTTTTATAATATTATCCTTCAAACTCTTATATATAATTACAACTACATAATTTCTAGTACGACTCCTACATGAAAATCATAGTTTAAATTTTAAATTATTAACCTCCTTAGCCTTATCTCCAACAAACATGGCTTCAAATCTAAAGCATTATTAGTACAAAAAAAATTTAATCATTGTAAAAAAATGAACTCTTCTTTCCTAATAGAATGTGTGATATACAAACATGGCTTCAAACCTGCACCTAAGTAAATATATTCATGACTCAAAAGTGATCAACAAAAGTAATAAAACGCCTAAATACTAGGTGAAAAGAATAAGATTTATGCACCAAACTACAAAATGGACTAAGTTAAATAAGAAGTTATTAGGACTCAACATAGAAGATAGAAAAAATACCTAGTAATATTTACCTAGCTCATAGGTAGTAATATTGTTTAAAATTCGCAATAAGAGGAGCCTAAACACAATTTGAAAAAAAAAAAGATTCAAGAGGGATAAACCTCATTAGGCCTATTG